CTACGCACGTATTGTATGCGGGCTGACCCCGTCCAATCTATAGGACTACCGCGGTCAAATAGAAGCCGCTACTAACGGACGAAAGCTAGCGAAAACAACTAGCTACTAATATATAAGATAACCAGGCGGAAAAGAGACACAGTAAAGGGACGAGGGATGAGGCTGAACAGAAAGCGTAGGGGCCAGACAACTCCGTCAGTGGCTGACATGTCATATCAGGTCATCTCAGAATAATAGCACGTGTATGTTGCCATTAGCGTAATCAGCCTAGCTCATTTACTGCACGTGCTGTTACATACGTACACGCAACACGTATGATCGATTGCGTTATATAGATGCGAGCGATATTAAAAGTAACTTCAGTGGAAGTTCGATGTATTTGTGTCGTCGGTGCGGATTGTAAGATCCATTAACCAATGCACCCATGTCATTACTATTATGTAAATTTGCAACTTGTAGGGTTTATCGGATACGATCGGTAGCCTTGCATGATCCAACTGTCAGAGGAGGTTCGCCTCCGTGCTTCTCAGGCTCGCTATGTTTATATCTTCTGTCTAATAACAGGTACTTGTACATTTTTATTAAAGAGTTACTGATTTTAACGAAATTTCAAAATAATTTAATGTTCCTTTTCTCCTTACGATACCTCTGTTGAGTTTGAAAGTTCTAATTTCCCAAAACTCAGCTAGAGCAACGGACAGATTATAAACAGACCACCAACAACATCAGCTGTATTAAAATCCGCATATGCAAGAACGCGCAATCGCTTCAAGTGACCGTTTAAATCATGGCGTAAAAATTATACATGGAAAAAAATTACAGATACTCAACGAAACATATGTATTGCAACAAAGTAGAGTCATCCCCAAGAATCGCAGCATCGATCAGATTTTAGGTACACAGCAGACGGCTTTACTGTCCAGCCCGCTGTTTCATAAAAAAAAAAGGCACGAAGATTAGCATTCGTATCGTCCTTGCGTAAAGAAACGTACGCGTAGACTATAAACCGAATATTATTATCCCGTCCATAAAGTCGGGAAAAGCCAGAGTACAAAATTCAACAACAAGCGAACAACATATCGTCGTGAAAATGTTTTGACCCTACAAACGCGGCTTGAACCATGTTAAATTGTTATAATTATTCTAAATTTATCGCCGACAGAAAGTCTAGATTTCCAGCGAAAATCTGACAGCTGGATCAGCAGCTGGCATGATCTAATCGATACGGTAAACAATGCCCGTATCATTTACCGCAACCCAGACAATAACGATCATTACACAAATAGACGACTTTTAGTCGCCCCCTATAAACACGAATGCTAGTTGTTTTTTAATTACTATTAGGCTTAAAAAGTAAATGCATCGGTAATTATCTGTCTTTGCTTGCCACGCTAGAGTCATTATCAGTAAGTACATCACAGATACTAGCTAGATAAGTTAAACTAGGCGTGAAGTTTCATAGTCACCGTCGCTAAACTGCAAATTATTAGAGGCTTTTTTCGTATACGATAGATCATCTATAGCTACGAGATGGACCAGCTCCCAAAAACATTGCATTGATCACTTGTTTTTCTGTAGCGGACAAGAGATTTGCTCTTGTGGCACGCTATTAATAGAAATATGTAGGGTTTTTTTTTGTTCTTTATTTGATTGTGTTTGACGAAATTATAGTCCAGAGCCCAGCGGTGTATCTTAGGGCTTCGTCTAGCGATAGCTGTACCTACTGCCGAGTAGATGTCATAATCAAATTCGGTAACAGGGTAGTAACTCTACCTACATGACGAAATACCGCAAAGAATCAACGTGACAACAAGTTCTAATTCTACCCGATACGCTACATACGGAGGCATAATTGTAAAACGTTTTTCTTTCGACGAGGCTAGAGCCGTTGGCCGACGTGGCTTTTGAATTAATTACGAATTGGAAATAGTCGGAGAACACTGGGTCGCATTGCGCTGGTCTGCGAAAACAGGGCGATACGCAGGTTGATCGGTCCTTAATTCTATTATGGCTAATGATCACACAGCGCTACGTACAGCCAACGTCAGCCGTCCGTCCGTCCTGCCTGCCTGCCTGCCTGCCTGCCCGATCCCTTTCGTCTTCGCAGAAGTGTAAACAATCACAATGACGCCCTCAACAAAACAGCCGCCGTTCATGACAGACTCAAATACACGAGTTAGATTATTTAAAAGTAACATGTACATATCTCGTCTTTAAAGTACGATACAGGACATGACGTAGCCTGGAGTTCATAACACCCAGCCGACAACAGCTTCTGGCAACAGCGGTAAACTCAATAACAACATGACCTTTACCAACGGACAATTGCATGAATATAGATGAATTGTTAGCGTAATATCCAATGTTACGAGTGGCGCAATCGAACTTTTCGTACGGCCATGCGCCTTCTAAGTATAGCACTCTCCATGACACAGCTCAGTTACGACATGGCGTGTACCCTGTGTCCTGACTCTCGCCATAGTTAACCATTAAACTCGCCTGAACACGTTTGACCTCAATGAGGTGTCTGCGTGGGATTAGTAGGCAATATTCAGATCGAATAAGACCAAGGTACGCCATCGTCAGGCTTAAAACTGTCATTTTCTATTGAACCAATAATGAAGCTATTAGATATAGTAAGTAATGAGCATCAATGCTCAGATAATATTGGGACGCAAATATCGTTTATGCAGTACTGTCTTTAATCAGCTAGGATAATTGAGCTACGATCCGTTGTTGTCTCAGTCTCGCCAACCGCAAATTCATGATAGCTAAACAAATACATTGGATACATATATGTATTCGATCAAATCGACAATAGCTGGACGCCTACTAACAACTTCGTATTTAAATGACGCCAGTTATCACATTAATGACTATGACAGTGCAGGAAGATTTTCGTGCTGCCGCTGTAGCCGTAATTTATTGAATCTAATAGGTCGAGATCGAAAGCCGTTCGTGAATTGGCGCCGGTCAGGGTAAAAGTTGCTACCTTCTGCTTACTCAAATATTATCCGTGTGTGTGTGTGTATGTATGTATGTATGTATGAACGATACCAGCGATATTTCTTCTATAATCGACAAACAGCAACAGCGATTAAATATTAATAGAGAACGATATGCGAACGAATGGCGGTACGTTACTGTCATCCAATGTAGTATCTAACATAGCTTCATCTAAATAACTCTTAGCCCGTCTGCGTTTGTTTACAGTTTTCAGCGCCCTCTGTTAGTTCGAGTTAATTCCGTCACGGTTCGACTCGAAATCTGCTATAATAAGTATCACACTGACGCTTCAACTGCCGGCGGCTAGAAGTGGGGACTTGAATGGTCAAAAGACAGTCAAGGTGAAGGCGTGATTGCCACGAGTCAGCTAGAAGAATAAGCGGCCTAAAACGATAGTACTGACGAGTATTTCTACACGTTCGAAAAAGATATAACTTTCATAAATTCTGGACACGCAGCTGTTCGATCTAAATTGGCATTTTCTATGTTCGTTTTTTGTTTTCCTTGCAAGGATCTTGTTAATAAAGTGAATGCCAAGTAAGGGTTCATTTTGAACAGGGCTGATTCGTGAAGCTGGGCCTGTTGTGTTAGCAGAGCGTCTGCTAATTAATGCTACTTAACGAGACGACAGAGACACGAACGGCTGTGAAATTGGCTCGCACTTCTCATAACGCACGATGTTTATATACGTCGATAGCTAAAAACAAGTCAGTGTACTAATTATCAGTGACATTTTTGATACTATTGCGACACTACAATGCTGGATGGCACGCTGGTAGCAAGCTAGCGATGAGGCTAAAGAGCACCTTGAGCTTTTCATCAATTTGTTCCGGTCATCGGCGAGTGAACACGTCTCGGTTATTTCGTTGTTGTCGTCGTCCTCGGCCTCGGAGAGATTCAGAGTCAGGAATAACAACAGAAGAAATAAGACACGACGGCTCGCGTCAAGGAAAAAGTTGTCACGTCCAATGAGTGTTCTCGTCGTTGCTATCGTTGTTCGCGCAGCTTCTACTTGTGCTACTACACGACTTGTGCTATACACTCGTGTTATTATTGCTGGATCTAGATAAACTAGAGCCGCTGTTCCCGCTGCCAGCGCCTTTCTAATGCGCATAACAGCTTATGAATCTGCTGCTGTCGATTCAGATCGAACCTGAGAAACCGCTCATGGCAGGAATGACGCTGATGCTCACAGTGGCGCTTCCTATTGCCCCTTCTGATAAAATTACACCCAACGAACAACTGCCTTTTGTTGTCAACTCTGTTCAGCTCATTCCATGCTGCACTCGAGCATTCGTACAGATACAGCGGCAACTGCTTGACCTGACACAATACCCCATCGCACAGCCGGCCCACCGTGCCATCGTACGGCCTCGGAAACCCTGTCACACGCTCGTAATAGGACGTTCGCATTGACCTGACTATAAACTAATAATTTATGATTAGTATTTTCATTGTTGCTTTGATGTATTGCAATGTCGATTGCTGTAAAGATACTGAAACATTTAATATTATGTCCAACGCCGGCAGCGACCGGGTTGAATCACACATACCGTTTCCATCTATTGTTTCTACTGGTATTTTATACATCTGCGACAATCCGATTTTCTACAGAGATAACAATAAGGATTTTTTTTTCATAAAAATTCTACATACAAAAACATTATATATTAACTATAAATGTAAACATGTTTGATAACCGTCTGAAAGAAGTTGGCTGTCGCGCGATGGAAGATAGACGTTTTATGGTTAAGCGAGTCAGTTGTGGTTGTTTCATCTCGCATTTTCCTATACCGAACTAAAGATAGCTTGGCCGCACCGGGCCGATCAAATGAAGTAGTCTTGTGGCTATTTGGGTTGCAATTTAGTAATTCGGAAACGTTTTATGTATGTGGTTCTGCTGTGTGTACAGGGACGTTCTCGGTCTGCGTGGCAATTTACCGATCAAACTGTCGCCCATTTACACTTGTTATAGTTGAATTTTATTTACTAACCTGCCCATGTGAGCTTTGGCGTCCATTTTCCGTTTGCTCCGGTAGGAAGTAAAGTCGTAACGAGGCAAGACTGACTTCGGCCAGCTCATCTCGCCAACACAGCTGCATTTCAGCTATACACGGATCTTCGTTCGGCGTAATACGTACAAAGACGAATTCACCCACTTCAAGCACCCGCTCTTCTAATACGTCCTTGTTCACATAGCGGAAGCCGCGATAGAATACGCGCTGGCCGCTGCGGCCTCGTGGCGGCTCGATAAGTCGCGGTAAAAGTGACATCATAACAGGGGCCGTCTGCTGCTGCTGCTGCTGTTGTTGTTGCTGCTGCTGCTGCAGCTGCTGCTGAGCCTGTTGATGCTGTTGTGGTAGGGGGTGATGTGCCTGAATGAGACTCCCCCCTAATGTACCGCCATTCCCGTGCGGGGAGTCGCCAGACCCAGCAACTCCCGGCATGGTCGCTTATCCAACTCAACTCGCTGTGGTGGTCGCCGCCGTCGCCACGACCTCCCGTGCGACGACCCTGGGAAGAACAACGGCAAAACATAAACAAAAACGAAAAAAAGTCAAATACAAATAACAGTTAGTTAAACGCTTTAGATGCCAGGATCATTTATCGTGTCGCTTGACGATGTTTTTCATCGCAACGGCTGCTACAGAGAAAAACGGGTGTTTGCTAATCGTTCCTAGTAAACAAATGGTATACACTTTGTTTCACCCTTGAGCCGATACCCATTATTTGCAAAGTCAGATTAATTATATTACTACAGGGTTGAACGACGTATTCACCCACAATATAGAGTTTATGGTCACGCTGCAGTTAGGGGGAAGTCGGAAAGCTATCCTTCATCATAATTCTTGTCATAAGCTCTCTCTTTCTCTCTCTCTCATTTTATAGTATAGCTAGAAAAAGGTGTATTTATTGGATAAATGCTTGAGGAGAAGCCTTACTGCACCAAATTAAGTAATCTCACTCAAACGATGCAACTTAATTTTTCATAACTGCAAGGGAAATTTCAACAATGATGGCACACTCCAATGAGCTTTTGAAGGACTCATAATTGTTATGAATGAAAACAATCAAAAAGAAATCCCTGTAAAAATGGATAAATTCGCTTTAAGGCATGAAAATGATGGGCCAGATAATGTTCAAGCCAAGCTAACCCCTTATTCACTGAAAATTTCGTACTGCTATATATAACGGTATATGAATCATTACAGATAGGTGAGTCAACTTCGGATCAAAAACGTTTGCGAAGCGTCGGAACGAGGTCGTCTAGTCGCTATTTTTTAATGGTGGACCTATTTTGCTTCGTTGTCGTATATGTACTATGGATGTTTTATTTTGCGTGCAGTTTATACGTAATTACGTTATGATAATTTACACTTAAGTGCAAATTATCATGACTCATAACGCCGATAACGACTTGCTATGAGCCTGAGCTACTCAGCAATGACGAAACTAAGCCGTTCTAGCCGAATACAAACAAGCTGCGATCGATACAACCTATTCAAGAGCAAATCCCTATTTTTTTTCTCGGTTACTAACCGACTCGCGTGTTTAACTTGAGGAAATGTTCGATAAATATGTGACCTTTACTTTGTCTCCTTTTTCTATTTAGTTGAACTTTGTCGCCCTTATAAAAGGTGGCTGTAACAAGAATCAATAACAACACTCTTGTGGCTTAGAATAAGTAGTAGAATAGTTTAAAGTACGGATGTTAAGGCACAAAAACACCGTCGACACTCGTTAGGCGGTTGAATGTCTCAAGATAAACGCTTATTTTATTTGTACTGGAGAAGTGATTCTCAAGGCAAATTTTACTAGAGCCTTAATCTATTTGATCACATTGTAGCTCGCGTAAAAACGCAATTTATGCAAAACCGTCGACTATAAGTTACGAGGTAATCTTATGTCACAACAAAAAAAAGGTTCCCCATTCCGACTATATTGCAAGACTGGTAGAAGCGAATAGATCTCTACAGACTAATTGCTGTTTTGATAAGAGCATTTCAATAGATTTGTTCAACTGGTGTATGAAACCGCAATTCGAGAACTGCTTTACAGAGCAAAAAGTGTACGAGATGATTGATGACGGTCTATTAGTAGCATCATACCGTATATACACATATATAATATAGAACAAACGTCGACGCTCCCAAAAAAAATTTCGGGCCACATAGTTGGGCCGTCAAAAAATCCACTTCCACTCGGCGTCACAATCCTGAATTCACTTTGAGTCTTAGTTGTCCACAGCCTGGTGACATAGCGAAAATATTTTCTGCCAGATACTGCCTATTCCATTATATTAACAGGATGTTAACAATTATATCGATGACCTCTATTTTGTTACGGTTCATCAAAAGGCACCGTCACGCTACTACGTTACTACGGTAATCGTGTGTTGCGGGTGAATTCATCAGGACTCTGCACAAGTGTTAACAATAAGCGATGGGAGTACTAGAAAATTTGGCCTTTACTTCGTAGCGGCGCGTGAAACTGGCAGATCCGACCTCATCAGGACAGTTATAGGGCAAAGTACGAAAGAAGAGAAAACCTCTTTATGGGAATTTCGGGAATCATACTGTACTACCTTCAGTCGAATCTGATTCAGCTTGCTTTTTATCAGTCTGCTGACTTGTGCTAATCGTTGCCCAAAATAGTCGCGTTCACCTGCTTCATAGTGCTAGCTTTGGTCGACAAATTTTCATTTTCAAGGAAACATTTGATCAATATCGTATCTTTTTCTGCTCATATTGTTGTGTCGCTGATATAGAACAAACGCAGTTTTGCATTGTAGTATGTGGACGCTCCCTCTCCCTCTCCCTCTCGCACTCTCACTCCCACTGCCACTCCCACTCGCCCCATCTCTCTCCCTTTCTAAAAAAAAGGTAAGAAAAATGGTGATTTTTTTTGCAAATGGAGGCAGTTCTCGTAACAAATCCTTCTGGTCCCATAGTCGTCACCTAAGAGTTCTATTAGAATCCAGTAGCGTTTTTTTGTGGTTATTTGTAAATAAATCCTCGATTATATGAACGCTCTCGGTCTCCGAATAGTTATGTTTACTGTCCTATGTTTGTTGAACCGTGAATGAAACAATTTCAATAAGAACAGTGGTTAAGAGTAACAGTCAGAACCGCACTATTGCTATCGATAATTTTGGTAGTAAATGATCACGGCCGTTTGCCATCAATGTATTGTTGACTGAAAATAAAATCATCTGGTGCTAGAGTTGCTTTTTTCTTCCTTAACTGTGATACAATTGTAAGTCGGCCAAGCGGATCGGTCAACCGTCGCCTGCCGCGCATTATAGGCCATCTGCACGCGCTAGACGCTTTGGCAGTACTAACCAGCTAAGTAACAAGTAGCCAGAGGAACGCGAGCCGACCCAGTCAGTGGCGATGATGCCGGTGATATCTAATCATAGTATAATTATATGTAGCACGTGTCCAAAGGCAGCTCACGCACCATTTACGTTCAGGCGTAGATCGAACAATAGATGTAATGTCAGTAGTTGGGACGAACAAATTAAGCGGCTATGTGTTATTGTTGTTAACTTGAAAAATAGAATAGATATACTACATCTAGCTCTACGTTTTAGTCTGGATCATTTAGAGTCACGGTCCCTGTCAGACTGAACAGTACATGGATCACTTACTAAAACATATGAATGTGTGTAGCCACGAAAAGTAAGAAGGGAGGCGTTTACGCGAGGCGTACCGGTAGCGATAATTGAAGTTGAGCCGGTGATCGTTGGTAGGCTAGTGGCTCATTGCAAGTTTTCTGCGTGGCTTCTCGCATTCTGCTTGATCGAGTGTGCTTAGTCGAGTTGAGCTCTCCTCAGACTCCCGATTTCCGACGCCTGCTGGCCTGACCAGTCGTTCAGAAGAATGCTTCTCCCGCGCTGTGCTGCTATTACTACTCAGTTGCGAATGATGGCCGTGGTGATGACTCGCTATCATCTTAGAACACCACTGAACACAGAAGCCCGCTTTCGTTCGGCTTTCCGAAAAGATATGGTCATCGAAAGCCTTTGCTAGTTCAGTTCAGCTCAGAGCGTCAACACCACACCATCAGCGGCAGGGGGTCTTGGTGGCGGAGAGGCGGGCAAGCAATGAAATCGAGAGACGAGAAGGAACTATGAAATGACTAGCGCTGTTTGCTCGACCGACCGACCGACCGGCCGGCTGGCTGGCTGGCTGGCTGGCTGGCTGGCTGGCTGTGTACAGCGATAACTGAAAATTCTTACAGCAGATAGTCACACATTGTCCGAAACTGCCGTCGCAGTAGTTTACACAAATCCCAATACCGACTGCAGACAGGCTGACATGAGCACGCTAGGGAGCCGGCACAAACTCTCAGAGACACAATGCACACCCTATCATAACCATAAGCATGAAGTATGATCGTCCGTCTGATGAAGAAGTCATTCCGTTTACTTTAGCGGTTACTTTCACAGCAACCGGCTGACACCAGCGTGTTCGTCCCTCGTCCGTACGAAAATGAGCGCCAGGGAGCGCAACTGTTAAAAAAAAATATTCATCTATTGTCGCCGCTAGACAATGATTATAGAAAAATCTTGAGAAATATTTAAACTTACAATAATTGTCCTTCTCTAGAAGGGCGGGTAGGATTCGATAGGACACTGACAGGGTGGAGTCTGTGACTAGGCCACTTTTCATCAACCTTCGGTTGACTCTTTGGTGGTCAGACATATTTGAAAGAGCATAATATCACAAATTGGTGTTGTGTATGCAAAAAGCAGCGAACTTAGCGAAGTAGCATTCTCGTAGGCGATCGATAAATATCTGATAATTTAGCTCCTGGATCTGCATCTATTTTCTCTAGAAATCTCTCTCGTCGCTCCCTGTCGCACATTTTATATATGTACAGCTATACAGGATAAGTGGATATTTGTATAAGACATAAGAGGAGTGTGAGCAAAAGTATGGTCAAAAACTGTGAACTCATGTTGACATTAAAGGGTTTAGGAGATGCAGCGGATACTTTGTACTACCACAGACTTTGTTGTAAATGCATCACACGTATGTTTATGTATCTTCACGATGATTAAATGATATTAATAAAAGCTCAAACATATGAAAATTATTTCGAACGAAGTCTATAGGTTAAGTTAATAACAAGCGACGTCCAAGGTAGCGAGCAATAGTAACAAAATTTGCCGAAAAGCTAAAGAGGAGAATGAACGTTTGCAGGTGCCAGATCATTGGGATTTCGAACAATTCTGGGTTCTAATTTTACCAGCCATAGTATTAAAAGAGACATGACCAAACCTTTTTTGAATCTAACCCAGACAGACATATCTCAGATTAACTTGACAACCTCTCTGGAAACTTTCTCGGGCAGAAAATACAAAGGGAATGCAATACATATTTATGTAAAAAATAAGCGTTCCGATTCGTGATGTTACTGCTAAGTATGATCTCATGAGTACGACGAAAGCGTTAGCGTTGAGTCGCGTGAGGCGATATTCATAGACGGCTCGAATTCACCCCACCCCC